GGTTGGGTGTTTTTTGCTTCTTCGCTTTTCAAATCTTTGACTTGATTCTTGTGCTCCTCTGGTCTGCTGTTGGGTGTCTGTATAATATTCTTTATTTCAGTCAGTGTATGCTTAATTTCTAGTTGGTTCTTTATCACAACATCGAGGGTCTCATTAGATTTCTTATAGATCTCATTAAGTTTATCGGCAGTTTCTAGAAAATTATTGAAAGACCTTAAAAGTGCGGTTTTGAGCTCTATATCCTCCATTTCTGTCATGTTTCTTTGTCTCTGCATTTTTTATGCTATCTTGGTGCACCCCGTTGTGGTCTTTGTGCGCAGTCTTGTTGTAGTTAAGCCTTGATTGTTGTTGGTAATACTGGGGGTGATTTGCTTTCTAGGCTAACTGGCTATGAGAGTCCGCTGTGTCTGCAGTGGGAGAGCTTCTGTGCTGGATCTCTAGGGCGGTGCTAATCTAGCGTTTGCCTGAGGCTATCCTGCAAATGCCTCTGTGCAGGGCTTGGGCGGGGCGGGTTCCGGGGGATCTACAGGGCGGGGGTTGGGGGGAGCGAGCAGTTATGGCTGCTCTCAGTCCCGTCCCCAGGGGCTCTGCCTCTCAGAGTCCCAGCAACTACTGCAAACCTCGGAGAGAAAAAGCTGCCTTCGAGTTCCCACCAAAGCCAAACAGTCCCGTTTGAGTCTGGGTCCCCAGAGACTCGCCCAGAACTGGAGCTCAGAGCCTGAGACTCCCTCCCGATTGAAACAGACAACCGCGCCCTCCGCCGCCAGCCCCCTCCGCATGCACTCCGCACCTTAGTATTTTACTTCAGCACTGCGCCTCCTCTGAGTCTCCGTATGCTATTCTCTTTCCTCCTAGTTGTAGAACTTCCACTCAGCCAGCCTTCCTGTGGTTTTGGATGATGTCCATTCCGTCTTTTAGTTGTATTTTTGAAGTGGTTGTTCGAGGCAGCAAACTCCGGCGTTAACCTATGCCACCATCTTGGTTTCTATAAAATGAATTCTGAAGCACATGGATGAAAAAGGAAGTTATATTAGCTGCGTTTCCCACTTTCTGATTAATTCCCAAGCTTTCCTAAATATTCAATTCTCTGTTTAATAGTAGAGTATTGGCTTGCTGAAGTTCCAGATATGAAATTTGTCATTTTATTTCATGATATTAATATCGTGATATGGCATTGACATTTAATATCATACTTATATACTAGAATTTAATAGTGATTATTTTTTCTATTCAAGAAACTACAAAAGTCAAACAACCATAGAATTCACAGTTCTTTACATTTAACATATAATATGAAGTATTATTACAAATAATACCATAAGGCAAAAATAGTATAAAAATAAGTTTAATATGATTGCTGAACTTTAGAAAGTTGTTTTAAAAATATATATTCCAAAGTCCTCTAAGTATTTGGCTTAAAGGGTAAGGGGGGTCTCTACTAGGGTGAACTATAAGAAATTATGGGTTTTGTAAGTTAAAAGGTAAAATCTCTGTCATTTCAAATGGTCCAATCTAATAAATTCCTGAGAAAATTTTATTTGGCATCACACTATAAATTCAAAGGGAATTTACAGAAAAATCACATTTCTAGTGAGAAAACACTTTAGGATGGAAATGTGCACATCGGCCATGTCAAGATTTATTTCTTGTGATTAAAAATAAACAACTTAGCCCTAGCTGGTTTGGCTCAGCAGATGGAGCATCGGACTGCAGACTGAAGGGTCCCAGGTTCGATTCTGGTGAAGGGCACTTGCCCAGGTTGCAGGTTTGAACCCCAGTAGGGTTTGTGCAGGAGCCAGCCGATCAATGATTCTCATTATTGATGTTTCTATCTTTCTCTCCCTCTCCCTTCCTCTCTGAAATCAATAAAAAAACATATATTAAAAATAAAAATAAACAACTTAGTGTGGCTTCAAAAAAACAAACAAACCCCCAAATCAGAAGACAATTAAAATTATAGAATGACAGTTACAGTTGCTAATGCCACTGAAAGAGAAACTACTAGTCAAATTTGGTGATTAAAAACTTTTCAAAATGTTTACATATAAGAAAGTCTGGCATTAAAATGAAAAGGCACAAATATGGGTTAAAAGAATAATAATCATTTATAAAAGCCTTGAAAATAAGGCTACTTTATTTGTATTTTTAACACCATTAAGTAGGCACCTATTCCAAGTTTCTGCTTTGGCCTCCTAAATGGAATTATGTTTCCAATGAATTTTCAACATACTAATCATAGCAGCATTATTACTGATAAGTTTCTTAGCCTCTACACTGCTAAAAGAGCATCTAAAATTTCCTCCTGACCTAAATTCCATTACAAAAATTACACTTTAAAAACTTACATATATTTATACTAGAGTTATAAAAATTTTTTTAAGTGTTTCTTGAACTAATGAGCTGTCCTTACCAATGCCACCCCAACAGACTATGCTTCACTAATTAAAGATAGCATATTCAGCTCTGGCCAGTTGGCTCAGTTAGTTGGGAGTGTCCTCCAGTTAAATTCTGGTCCGGAGACATACTAAGGTTCAATTCCTGACTATGGTGCATAGGGGAGGAAAACAATCAATGCTTCTCTCTCTCTCCCCCCGTTGCTCTAAAAAAAAACAAACAAAAAATCAATAAACATATCCAGAGGAAACCAAGATGGCAACATAGGTAAACACCAGAAATGGCTGCCTCACACAACAACTTCATAAATACAACTAAAAGACAAAACAAACATCATCCAGAACCACAGGAAGGCTGGCTGAGTGGAAATTCTACAACTAGAAGGAAAGAGAAAAGCACACTGAGACTCAGAGGAGGTGTGGAAGCAAAGTGCAGAGGTATGGAGGTGCATGTAGAAAGGGCTAGCAGCTGAGGACACAGCTGTCTTTTTCAATCGGGAGGGAGTCTCAAGCTCCCGGCTGCTCTGAACTCCAGTTCCAGGCGAGTCTCTGGGAACCCAGACTCATACAGGGAGAAACTGGACTGTCTGGCATCGGTTGGAACTCGAGGGCGGCTTTCTCTCAGAGGTACTTGCAGTGATTACCGGGACACTGAGAAGCTGGGCCTCTTAGGGTAGGACTGAGGAGCAGACATAGCTGCTTGCTCTGCCCTGTTGATCCCCTGAGACCCCGCCCCACCCAAGCTGTGCGCAGAGGCTTTTGCATATGAAAGGCCTGGCCCTTTGCAATCTGAAAATTACCTAACAAACTGCAGCTGGGTCAGAGAAACCCAGAACTTCCAAAAGAAGACCCAAGGCCCCACAGCAGCTTGCATTGCTTCACAGCTGGGCTCCTGCTGGTTGGCTCAGGCAGAGGCTAAATTAGCACCTCCTTAGATCCAAGAGCCAGTGTACCCAGTGGTCAGAGTGGGACCATCCAGATTACAAGTCCTCAGATCCATAAGGGACACACTCAGGGGGCAGACTCAGTGAGCACCAAAACCCCACTGAAGCAAGTCTTGCCCCAGAAAGGTGTCTCCAGCACAGAAGTTCTCCCATTGCAGACACAGCTGATTCTCACAGCCAATTGGCTTGGAGGTCAATTCCTCCCAGTGATACCTACAACAATCAAGGCTTAACTACAAGACTGTGCACAAAGCCCACAAAGGGGTGCACCAAGAGTGTCCTCCTCCGGTAATTGGGGAGGCTGAGCCACTGGGCCCTTTAGGACAGCTAGCACAGAAAGCCACTCTATCAACACAGGGAAGCATAAAAAATGCGGAGACAAAGAAACTGGTCACAAATGACAGAAATGGAGGAAAGCAAACTACTGGATATAGAGTTCAAAACCACACTTTTCAAGAATTCTCTAGACACCACCGATAAACTTGGTGAGACCCTCAAGAAATCTAGTGAGACCCTCGAGGTTATGAAAAAGGACCAACTAGAAAGTAAGCATACACTGACTGAAATAAAGAGTATTATACAGAGTTCCAACAGCAGACTAGAAGATCGGAAGAATCAAGTCAAAGATTTGAAATACGAAGAAGCAAAAAACACCCAACCAGAAAAACAAAAAGAAGAAAGAATCCAAAAATATGAAGATAGTGTAAGGAGCCTCTGGGACAACTTCAAACGTACCAACATCCAAAATATGGGGGTGCCAGAAGATGAGAGAGACCAAGATATTGAAAACCTATTTGAAGAAATCATGACAGAAAACTTCCCCTACCTGGTGAAAGAAATAGACTTACAGGTCCAGGAAGCGCAGAGAACCCCAAACAAAAGGAATCCAAAAGAGGACCACACCAAGACACATCATGATTAAAATGCCAAGAGCAAAAGACAAAGAGAGAATCTTAAAAGCAGCAAGAGAAAAACAGTCAGTTACCTACAAGGGACTACCCATACAACTATCAGCTGATTTCTCAACAGGAACTTTGCAGGCCAGAAGGGAGTGGCAAGAAATATTCAAAGTGATGAATGCCAAGAACCTACAACCAAGATTACTTTATCCAGCAAAGCTCTCATTCAGAATTGAAGGTCAGATAAAGAGCTTCACAGATAAGGAAAAGCTAAAGGAGTTCATCACCACCAAACCAGTATTATATGAAATGCTGAAAGGTATCCTTTAAGAAGAGGAAGAAGAAGAAAAAGGTAAAGATACAAATTATGAACAACAAATACACATCTATCAACAAGTGAATCTAAAAATCAAGTGAATAAATAATCTGATAAACAGAATAAACGGGTGAATATAATAGAATCAGGGGCATAGAAAGGGAGTGGACTATTCTCGAGGGGGGAAGGGGTATGGGGGGTGCAGGAAGAGACTGGACAAAAATCATACACCTATGGATGAGGACAGTGGGGGGAGGGTAAGGGCAGAGGGTGGGGTGGGAACCAGGTGGAGGGGAGCTATGGGGGTAAAAAGAGGAACAACTGTAATAATCTGAATAAAGATATAATTAAAAAAATATAATAATAAATAATAAAAAAATAAACATATCCTTAATGAGGATGAAAAAATAAGACATACCATATCAAAAATGATACTTAAACTATGAAATTTATTAAATATAATCAATTAATTAAGTGCTGATTTTCCAGGTATGTGCATATGTGGTGTTTTTGTATTCGGTGAAGATGGACTTGTAAAAAATACACATTTCTGCAACGATGCTTCATTTGGATCCCTGGCACCATTTACGAATGGCCACTCCAGCACTACTGGCTACTACGCAGAGTGCGCCACCCACCGTCCACCACGTTGGTATATCATGCAGGAAAATAACCTGAAAGATAAAAGCAAAAACCACATCCATGGTCTTCATTAGTGCTACTAGCCCAGCTTCTTCTATCTGAAGGGCTTTGGTGAGAAACACCTGACCCGCCAAACCAAACAGCCCAATTAGTAGGAGAAAGAGCCTGTCTATCCCACAGTTCGGTATCCTCCACATTCCTAATACAGAGAGGATGACGACGGACTCCATGAGGCCAACCAGTACATAAAACCAGATGGGCAAAAAGTAATCCACAGATTTCCCCATTTTTCTGAGGATAACGAGAGTCAAGGCATTAGATACGGCATGTCCAAGTGCTGCCAACGTGCCCTTCACGTGATCTGAATAGCTTCTAGTCGTCTTCACAGTGTTGGAACCAAACACAAATGGTGGCCTCACAATGAGGATCACTCCGGTGATGGCGAATGCGGTGAAGAGAACATTCCAAGGGCTGTATTTTTCCTTGAGAAATATGCAAGCAAATATAGACGTAAACACTGGACAGCTAAACGCGATAACCATGGCATCGGCGAGGGATGTTGCCTGGAAAGCGTAGTATAAAAGGATCATGGCGGTAGAACCGAGGACTCCTCCAAGAATGAGGAAGATTCGTAGATCTTTTGGGCCTATAAACCCAGTTCTGGAAATTCAAATGAAGGAATGCATATTAAACAAAACTTGCTAATTGTTTTTAAACTATAATCTTATATAATAAAAGGCTAATGTGCAAATTGACCGAACGGGAGAATGACCGGTCGCTATGACGCTCACTGACCACCAGGGGGCAGACGCTCAATGCAGGAGCTGCCCCCTGGTGGTCAGTGCGCTCCCACAGGGGGAGTGCTGCTCAGCCAGAAGCTGGACTCATGGCTGATTAGCGCACCAGCGGTGACAGGAGCCTCTCATGCCTCTGCAACAGTGCTAAGGGCCTAAGGCGGCAGTCGGACATCCCCCGAGGTTTCCCAGACTGCGAGAGGGTGCAGTCCAGGCTGAGGGACCTCCTGCTCAGTGCACGAATATCGTGCTCCGGGTCTCTAGTTTTTAATAAAGTAATATTTTAGAAGTCTTAGCTATCAAAAATAGGGGAATAGCAAATTAAATATGATAATGTCCACAACTATAATATCCCTTTAAAAAATGTTTTGTAAGTATAGCTAATGACATTAAAGTGTTCACAGTATAAGCAAAAATAATACAAGAGAACTACATAAATAGTATCATTATACTTAATACAGATGTATTTTTCCTTTTTTCTTATGTTAGATATTATTTGCTACATGTATATACAGGGTGTCCCCCAAAATGTATACACACTTTGAATAATTATAAAGGCGGTGTTTATTAAAATACATTTCATTTTCAAAATGTAACAAAAATCAGCTGTTAAAGTATTAATACAGTGCTGTGGCTGACCAGCAGACCCCGAGTGACAGATGAACAGATTGATCTGACACAAGTTTCTGTGAAAGAGAGGCTAAGGGACTATTTTACTTTAGAAGTAAAAGCAGTCCCATTTGCCTGCCTTGCTGGGGTCCAGCCCCAGCGATCCAGGGGTTCCCAAAGGTGTGGACGGAGTCGGCGATGAATGAAGGACACGGAGACAGCATTCAGATGATCAGCATAGCCAGGTTCTCTCTTTATTCTCCTGTTACATCTGTATTTATACCATTTGATCCTATAAGCATGCCTCTATAGTCACATCATGAAATGTTTTGGGTCCTCCCTTGACCTTCTACAGTTCCTTGTTTCATGTCCATAGTTTCTTATCTGACCTTTGCCAAAAATCTTATCTCTATCTAGCTCTGTTGATTTTAATCCTATCCATTCTATTGCAAAGGTTGGGGCTAGTTTGTTATCTCCATTCCAAGGTCACTACTCTACTGCTCTACTATTAAGCTACAAGGAAGTAACTGAAGGAGATTATCCCAAGTAATGGTTATGTCCTTTTAGCCTTGCTGATGGTCTTCCTTGGGACTGCCCTGCATCGGCGGGTTTTCAGGGGCATAGGCTTTGGTGGTTTCTCTGGTGGGTAGACCCCTGGGGATGTGGGCCTAGCAAGTCCCAAATTTATTGCCAACAGTCTTAGTCTAAGTTCTTCATAAGTAGTACACAGTATTTCTGTAACACTAGGGGGTTTTACTGATTTATTCCCTTCCTTAGTCCCGTTAATTCCTAACTCCAGGGAAATATCCCCACCTGGGGAAACAACCTTTCTCGGGGAGGTGGCCCTGGTTAGAACACATAGCGCTAAGAAGGGGAGCAAACATATTAAGAACAGTATGCCAGGTCCCTTGAAACATATGCTGTGCAGATGTTTCTTCCCTGCAGCAACTGTGTCAAGCAACAAGGATGGACCGGCCTCTGGCACTGCCTCACTGGCTTTTTATTGTAATAACAGTTTGAACTAAAATTAACCTCTAGATACAATCAGTAGGGTAAGTATCCTTGAGAAAGTATGCTTCTACAAGGTCAGGTCTTTAAAGAGTAAACATAGAGATTCTAGCAAAGCACTCTGGGAGATTGGACTTCTTTGGAAAAGTCAAGGTAGGGGCTGTCACCTTTGGCAAGGTCCCCTCAAAGGCCCCCAACCTTTCGGAGAATCCTTTTTACAGACATTCCAACCAAGTCCCGTGCTTCCCCAGATCTCCCCCCTTTTTGTTTTGCTGGCTGCAGAAGACAGAGGGAGGTGGTGAAACTTTCTGCTTTGGAAGGTTGGGGTCTGCGAAGCACGTTCACTGCTCGAATTCTGATTTTGTAGACTACCTATATATATAAAAGGCTAATATGCAAAGTGTCCCCTTGGGAGTCCGACCGGGAGTTCACTCGCTCGCTATTACGTACGCTGACCACTAGGGGCAGCGTGGAATGAAGGAAGGCCCCGATTGGCCCTAATCACCAGGCCTAGGGACCCTACCCATGCACGAATTTCATGCACCAGGCCTCTAGTAAGAAAAATAAAGAGAATTAGAATGACAGTTAATGGTTAGTCTGATCAGGTACCAATTGATTTTAGGAAACCATGTGGTGGGGTCTATCCATTCTAATTGCTCCTTTACCATATTCTAAGCAATGGTCTGTTTTCCATGTTTATTGATAGCAAATAAGAATTCTTTAATTTGCCTTTGCAACATGTTTACTTTTTCAGTAAGGTTATTATGAAAGACTTCCCATAGATGCTTTTTAACATGAAATCCAATGATGGTGACTACTCTTCTTTTTAAAGGTGTGACACATATGTGCTTATGCTCCTAATCACAGTTAAGCACTTGCCTGTATGCTATAGTGTCCTGTCTTTTCCCTAGATATTCAATGGCTACCTCTATTGCCTGTAGTCTAGCTGATATTTTTTGACCTATATATGCTGTTGTATAGTGAATTCCCTAGTTATATCATAGGCCATATGGTCTACAAATGTAGCCATCTGCATAGACTCAGAAAGGGCCATCATAGTGATGCTGGCAGTTATAAGAATAACAACTGCCAAAATAATGGCTGCAATGACCATTCCCAAAAATCTTTTAGGCCATAATTGACTCAATGCTCTTTCTAAGACTTCGATAGCTGATGAGCCTTGCCATTTCCTGGTGAGATTAACAGGTATCAGGATTTCTGCTTGTCTTCTAAGTCCATAATAGTGCTGATGTTCAATGAAGTAATATTCAGAGTGGTAATACAGGATGTAAAATAAGCTTCCTTTTTAACCTGTATTAGAAAAGATGAACTATGGTTTATTAGTAGATCGGGGCCCATAACAAAGACATAGGGGTAGGTGGTGCAAATCAGGCTACTGTCAGTATGATTATTAATAAAAGTTATACTATACTGGCTAGAGAGTTCTGGTAGTCACTGTGCCATGCCATGATAGAGTCCAATCCGACGAGCTGGAATCCACAGCAGCCCTGTGGGGGTAGAAACACACGCATATCCTCTCCCCCATGTTAATATCTCATTGGGTCCTTGAGTCCCATATTCCCCCTTTTTTGTTTTACTAGTATGTTTTTTAATGTTGAATGGGCATACTCAATAATGGCTTGCCCCTGTGGATTGTAAGGGATTCCTGTGGAATGCTGGATGGACTAAGTCCTGTAAAAGGTGGCAAAGGCATGGCTGCTATAAGCAGGCCTACTGTTAGTTTTTATCTTGGTTAATATAGCTATAATTGGAAATAGGTTTTACTGAATTTAAAGAAATGTATTGCTACTTATTAAAAATTGCTAAATTTTGGAGGGACAGGTAGGGAGAGAAATATGTAATTTACTAAATTGCTTTAAAAATGCTTTCTTGCCCTGACTGGTTTGGCTCAGTGGATGGAGCGTCGGCCTGCGGACTCAAGGGTCCCGGGTTCGATTCCGGTCAAGGGCATGTACCTTGGTTGCGGGCACATCCCAGTGGGGAGTGTGCGGGAGGCAGCTGATCGATGTTTCTCTCTCATCGATGTTTCTAACTCTTTATCCCTCTCCCTTCCTCTCTGTAAAAAATCAATAAAATATATTTAAAAAAAATGCTTTCTTATATCTGAAAAACAAAAAGTTTAAGAATTAGCAATACTTTCAACAAAAGTTACAAAAATATATAATTATTTTTTTATTTATTCAGCTTTATAATAAAATTGTTTCTTTTGATTTTTTTTGCTAGTATTTCTATAGATCTAGGTACTTTATAGAATAATGTAAATGACATAGAATTTTGTTCTTTTTGCAAAATATAATATTCTATATTATAATTTATAACAATTAGTTATAAATGAAAGCATATTAGAAATTATTTAATGTGCATATAAATAGAATATAATTATTATTTTTTTTTATTTGACAGAGCTTCCCATATATCTTAAGTATAAAATTTCCTTTATAAGGATAGAAAGCAAATCTTAAAATTTAAATCCTGGGAAGGTAGTCAAATATATTATTATATATAATTACTATTATTATTATTTTAAATATATTTTATTGATTTTTTAAAGAGAGGAAGGGAGAGGAAGAGGTATAGAGAGTTGAAACATCGATGAGAAAGAAACATCGATTCACCTGCCTCCTGCACACTCTCTACTGGGGATGTGCCGCAATCAAGGTACATGCCCTTGACTGGAATCAAAGCTGGGACCCTTCAGTCCACAGGCCAATGCTCTATCCACTGAGCCAAACTGGTTAGGGCTATTATTATTATTAAACAGTATTAAGTAATTTATTTATTTAAAGTAATCAGGTTCCTGATTAACATAACATAATTATTTTAATAATATATATAAAACCTTTTCTTCTTAGGCAAAAATATTTAAATAATCTATACTAATAAAAGGGTAATATGCCAATTAGACCAGGAGACCTTCCGGGACACCAGCTGGGGAAGGCAGTTGGGGGTCATGAGGCTGGCAGGGGAAGGCAGTTGGGGCCATGAGGCTGGCCTGGGAGGGCAGCTGGGGTCAAGCAGGGGGGCGGGGGGCAGTTGGGGGCAAGCAGGCCGGCAGGCAGGTTAGTGGTTAGGAGCCAGCGGTCCCAGATTGCGAGAGGGATGTCTAACTAAACCGGCGGTAGAACATCCCCTGAGGGGTCCCAGATTGGAGAGGGTGCAGGCCAGGCTGAGGGACATCCCCTGTGCATGAATTTCGTGCGCTGGGCCACTAGTCCTATATAATAAAAGGCTAATATGCAAATAGACTGAACAGCGGAACAACCGGTCGCTATGATGCATACTAACCACCAAGGGGCAGATGCTCAATGCAGGAGCTGCCCCCTGGTGGTCAGTGCGCTCCCATAGGGGGAGCACTGCTCAGCCAGAAGCCGGACTCATGGCTGGTGAGTGCAGCGGCAACGGTGGGAGCCACTCCCGCCTCGGTGGCAGTGCTAGGATGTCTGATTATGGGCTTATGCCTGCTCCCCCAAGGGCTCCTGTACTGTAAGAGGGCACAGGCCGAGCTGAGGGACCCCGAGGCCTCCAGTATGTATATTAAACCTTTGCTACTTAAGCAAATATAGGAATAGGCTTATTTTAGAAATAGGCTTATTTTTCCAATGGAAAATATACTCACATTGTTAAGAAGTATAATAGAGATAATATGACCTTGACAACTCTTAGGAGTCTGGAGAAAGGGTGGGTGTGTATGTGGGGAGATAAGAGGTCCTGGGGTTTGTTCCCAGGACTATAGTAACTTCTGGGCCTTTAAAAGCTTTAGTGTAAAAGTACCATTTTTTTTTCTTTACAAGGAGAGTGCTCTTTCCTTCACCCCACTGTTGCCGCTTCTGCAGCTTATTCAAGGGTATTTCTGTAGCTCTAGCCTTTTAGGAAAATACTTGGGGAGTTTAAATAATTATTTCCCATATTTTTTCTCTTTTTGAGTAGATTAACAATATGAAATTTTGTATATAGTAAGAAGAGATCTTAAAAACAGAAACAAAAAACCCTACAGTAAATGAATGAGTACTCACAAAAGGGTGGACTGGGACACTAGCCTTGGAATTTTATTTTACATTAACCCAGTACAGTAAATGGGTTCTGAGTGGTACAAAGTCTAAACAGTAGAGGCCAAGGATTCCTTATATTCATAAAATGGTGAAGTATAAACTAAGTCCTTTAAAGAAAGCAAGTAAAAAACATTAATCAGGAACCAAGTTACATTACAGAGACAAGAACTTCTACTACCTAAGAGTTTCTAGTGGCTGATGTCTTGAGAGGGAGAGCAGGAAGGTCCCCAAGAATAAGAATTCTTGGCAGCTGCTGGGAAATTCCTGTAATCCCTATTATGAGGTCAGCCTGTTACAAGTAGCTGGGGCCCCTAGTAAAGTGAAATATGCCCTATCTTTAAACAAATTAAACTAAACAGCAAAGACACAAAACAACAATTAACAGAGACTCTATGAACAACATTTATAGGTGTGCACAACCTACAGATAAGACTTAATAAACCAGAGTCCTTTCCATGGATTTTTTAGAAGATGTCTTTTAGTGCCCGGGACTTATAGCTAGAATGTGGCTCAGAGGGCTCCCGTGTGGGGTGGCCAGTGAGCACCCATCAACAGTTTGTTGTTCACAGATCTTATTATATTCTGCTTTCCATAACAGATATTGACTGGCATCTAGAATTGTTTTGGCTAAAATCTGCCAGTCCCAAGGAGTCATGTGATAATTTTCAGACAAGGCATTAAGGAATCTTTTTGTAAATGGACTGTCAGTCTCATTTTCTCTAACACTTTTCCTTATTTCTTTAAAGGTAAAAAAGAGTGGCTCATAAACTTTATTATCTTGTTGATTTTGTATATCTGGGCAAGTTAAAAGCTCTCCTTCTAACATGGCTTGCCTGACATAGGACCCCATAACTGAGGATCTAGTTGATGAGCTCTCCCACATCAGAGGCCGAGGATCGGGAAATATTTCTTCCAGCAGCGGGGCTTTAGGTATTACAGGTTCTGCAGGCTCTGCTTCAGGAGGAGGGGGCAGTAGTAAGTCCTGTTGCTCTGTAGGCTTTTGATCTTCAATATGAAGTGGGCATAATGCAGCTTGAACAAGAGCCCACATAGTTAATGATGATAAGGACACTCGTTTTCCCTAGGCCTGATTTCTTTTTAAATTCCTACCCACCTGTTCCCAGAGGATTAAGGTCTAGTGTTCCAGCATCAGGGAACCGAGGATTATACATCAAAACAATTTTTAATAAGCTTTTTAGTTGTTATTCTGAAACAGAGGCACCACCTGCTTTTAATAACTGTTTCAGCAATGTGATATATAGCTGCTGTTCTGTGAACAACTGTTGTCCCATTATGAAACCTTAGCTGAGAAAGAATTCCCTCAAACTTGGAAATCCCAAGCGGGTTCCAATGACTTACTGCACAGTTACTTTCATTTTCTTTCTCTTTGTTTTCGAGGGTTTTGCTGCGTTTGTTGCATTCCTGACCTCTTCACACAGGGGGCACCAGCTGCTGGGGCTGACCAGCAGACCCTGAGCGATGGATGAAGAGATTGCTCTGACACAGGTTTCTGTGAAAGAGGCTAATGGACTGTTTTTACTTTAGGAACAAATAGCCCTGATTGCCTGCCTCGTTGGCTTTTTATTGTAATAACAGTTTGAACTAAAATTAACCTCTAGATACAATCAATAGGATAAGTGTCCTTAAGAAAGTATATGCTTCTACAAAGTTGGGTCTTTTAAGACTAAACATAGAGATTCTAGCAAAACACCTCGGGGGATCAGACTTGTTTGAAAAAGTCAAAGTAGGGGCTACCACCTTCGGCAAGGTCCCCTCAGAGACCCCCGACCTTTAGGAGAAGCCTCCTTATAGACATTCCAAATAAGTCCCATGCTTCCCCACAATACAGTTTTGGGGGGCACCCTGTGTATGCTTGCAAAAAAAGACAAAGGAAAATATACTGAAATGCTCATTGTGGTTAGACCTCATTCTAGTATAGTAATTTTCCTTCTTTATATTTATTTTTCACATGTTTTCTATTAAATATATAAATATGTGAAAGCGTGTTACTTTCATAATAAGTATAATTTCAAGATTTAGCTGCCCCATATAAGAAAACTTGGTCCTCGACGTTGTGCATTCTTATGAGTTTTTCTATAAAAGCGGTGCCAATGCCACATGTTCTTTAAGTCATTGGATGTGAGACAACTTTTCACTGTTCTCTTTAGGAAAAGAGTTAAAACACACTGAAAAAGAACCTGCAGCATTCAGTATGTATAATAATTGCCATCAAAGTTTTTCCAATTAAATATTTGCTAAACAGAGTCCTGTGTTAGTTCCTGGCTAGGTGCATCTTGCTGATCTGTGTTGGGGCTGGACATCTTTAGGGCAGCATGTAGGCCAGACATGGGGACCCTGGGTCTCTGGTGTCAGAAATGAAAGTATGGTCACCTTTGGTCCATACTTTGAGAAGCTAGGAATCTTCCTCAATAGTGAAATTTGAAATGGGTCAAACAAAATTATCACCAAGGATTTCAGAAAATTTTCCTAGTGCCTTCCCCTGACAATACTTTTATTCCAAAATGGGGAAGATGATTGGGTTCCCATCCGAAGTCTACTGCCACACTTAGAAATGTCTGAAGTCTTACCGACATTTCCTAAAATATTATGACTTGTCCACACTTACACAGGAATTTCTGACAATATCGATCTTAGCAAATTTTAACCTTTTTCACCAAATCCTTAGTATATGGACTGAAGAGGCATACTTTAAACCTGAGGAGGGTGGGGGGTGGGGTGGGGAAGAGCAGAATTCACATGAATGAAGAAGATGGGATGGACCATCTATAAATCCACCCTATAAAATGGATTTCCTTGCCCTAATCGGTTTGGCTCAGTGGATAGAGCGTCGGCCTGCAGACTTAAGGGTCCCAGGTTCAATTCTGGCCAGGGGCATGTACCTTAGTTGCGGACACATACGTAGTGGGCAGTGTGCAGGAGGCAGCTGATCGATGTTTTTCACTCATCGATGTTTCTAACTCTCTATCCCTCTCCCTTCCTCTCTGTAAAAATGTCCATAAAATATATATTTTTAAAAAAATGGATTTCCTTTAACTCGCTGAAGAAACATCCCTCACCTACAAGTCAATACTATATTTTTTACAAAACACTCTGATACATAATAAATTCCATTTGATTCTTGTAACCACAGGCAGGTAGAGGATAAATGTCATTCCCTTCAGTTTACAGATGAGGACACTGAATATGGAAAGCAGTTAAAAAGCCCCTCCTCAAGATTACCTTTCCCCTTTCCCACAGCACCTCACACCTAAATATTACTATGGTAGCCTTCTGTCTGCCCTTGTAGCAGAGCAACCTGTTCTACCTAAAGAAACCTCTGACACTGGGAGATGACACTACCACATCCTCTTGTTTACTTTTTCTTCCAAATACTAAGAAGGGAAGGTGGTACACGATGAGAGGAATTACACTAGGAGAGTTTTGTTCTCAAAATGAGGGTGGAGAATAACTGAATCTCTTTCTCCCCCTCTGCTGGGCATGTTGTGTGTGCTTATGAGCATCTTATTTAGGTGGGATCCTTGTGACTTTTCAGTGATCAGAGCCAAAGGGTGTAGGGACTGGCAAATCTATGAGAGGGATTAAAGCAGATACTATAAGTAAATTTGGGCAGGTCAAAAGATTTACAACCGTTTATTATTATCTACTTTGCAGTTAAGAAATACTTACTTTCTGTATATTAAGCAAGGGATAACGACTAACATTTGGAACACACATCGGAATGCACTAATTTCTACAGCATGGAGGTCTTGCACTTTTTTAACAAATAAAAAGGCCACTGAGAAAAGGAAGGCAGACAATAATGTGTAAAACAAGCCAAGTCCACGACAGGGTGCTTTCTTCTTGGCTTCTGAAAAAGATTAAATTCTGGTTAGTCCTTACTTCCTTTATCATTTTCACTTAGAAACTGAGAAAAATGGGACAGTGTTAATGGCTAACAAGCTGCAAATATTACCTCCTAAGCATGTCTATTTTTTGGATCGGAAACATTTTTCCCACCAAAAATGAAGAACCACAGACGAAGGAAACAAATTAAACCTGTGTTTTCTGAAATGCAATGTCACCCTATAAAATACAATTTCCTTTAACTCCCTGAAGAATCACCCCCTCACCTACAAGTCAAAAAGAAGTAAAGACAGTAGAGAAATCTTTTAAGAAATGCTTGTCAAGATGGCTAGAGAAAATGCTTCCAAATGATGTTTTATATCATCTCACTGGTGAACTGTGCTTTATGAAGAAAGTGATCTTTCCTGGAAAGCAGTTTATAACTGTGTTCTGTGGCTACTTGTTGATGAGTTGACTTCCTCCACAGCCTGCAAGCTCCTCCAGGGCTGGGGCCTCAGCTGTCTTGTTCAGGCCCGGCACATGGAAGACCCTCAATAGTTGCTGAATGAAAGGATGTGAGAGAATCATGGAAAGATGCAGAGGGTAAAACCACAGCAACAGCATGATTTAGGAAGGCTCTGTCTTTTGTTATTTTGAACCATAACTCAAATCTTTATTTAAACCTCTCATGGTTTACAATGTATCTTTCATTTAGAGCATAAACTCTTCCAGGGCAAGGGGAGGGAGGCTATCTACCCTTCTGACCCCAAAGTACTTTTTTTTTTCTTTTTTAATCCTTACCCAAGGATATTGATGAAAGTGAGAGAAGGAAAGAGAGAGGGGAAGGGGGGGGGGTGGAGAGGGAGAGGGAGAGAGAGAGAAGCATCAGTGTGAAAGAGAAACATCATTCATTCAGTTGCCTCCTGTACACACCCTGACAAGGGACTGAACCAGCAACCTAGGTATGTGCCCTGACCGGCAATCAAAGTCACAACCTTTTGGTGTACGGGAAGATGCTCCAACCAACTGAGCCACCCGGCCAGGGCCCAAAGTGCTTTTTAAATACATTTTAAAATTAGAATTGTCATCTAATACCAACTACCTGGTTGACCTGAGCCAGGGCACTTTTGCTTTCTCCAGGCCATCAAGTATTCAATCTCTTAATGACAGTCTGACTGAGCATTAAACTTCTGTTTAGCCACTTCCTCTGTCTTAGTTGCCTAAAACAGGAGTAGAACCTTCTTTCAATCTCACCCCTGGCATTCAGGAAAGCAAAATGGAGTAGAGTGAGCAGAGAACACCCTAAAACCTGAACACCTGAACACTCACACACAAAAAGGAGAGAATAAGAAGTAAACATACTGGCTCTCATTTGCTAAGAGCACACAGGGCTAAAGGATGTGTGGGGACATGCAACTTGTAGTAAAACCAGGATCACCATTCCATCTAGGAATGTACAATGTATTCTTCCATTGTAGAATGGTATTACATAATGGGGTGTGTGTGTGTGTGTGTATTAAAATGTCATTCCATTGCCGAAACCGGTTTGGCTCGGTGGATAGAGTGTCGGCCTGCGGACTGAAAGGTCCCAGGTTCGATTCCAGTCAAGGGCATGTGGGAGATGTGCAGGAGGCAGCTGATCGATGTTTCTCTCTCATCGATGTTTCTGACTATCTCTCTCCCTTCCTCTCTGTAAAAAATCAATAAAATATATTAAAAAATAAAATAAAATAAAATGTCCTTCCATTATAAAGGCAAACACCAGGTAATATATTTCAAGATCCTAGTGTTAGATAGATATCTTTGCCCACATGTGACACATTTACAAAGTGTGATGATGCAGTCTTCCTGGTGGCATTCTACAGTCTGACCTTCGCAGTAACACATGCCATGCTGGTCAGAGGCTTCACCTCTTCCTGTTCTAGGTACACAGCTGCAGAGAGTGATTGAGCTGTCATGTTACAGATTTTATGTTGTCTAAGTGCCAGAATCTCCACATTCTGTTCTGTAAGCATGTGCTCAGATACTGCAGAAACAGGCTACACATACCTACTCAGCCCATGAGAAGGAAGCTTTAGAAGACTGCTAAGTTAACCACCACTCATACATGTTTTGGCTGCAGTCAGCCTTAGAATTTAGCCTCTGAAATTTCAGAGTTCAAGTCCAAATAAAATAGTTTTTCTTCAAAGAAACCCAACCCATACATAGAACCTACACCCTTAGACAGAACAGAACGAGATCAAGGGCAGAAAACATCTCCCTGGTCTATATTTAAAGGATCTTCTGCAACCTAAACTTCTCGATTTCTCTCCAGGAATATTTTAACATGCTATTTTAACTCTTTGAAAACTTAATTTCACACCCCTGGCTCTGATTATCTTTTCCTTAAAACACTTTTACTCACATATTTTCTTGCCTATAAACTCTTAAGGCCCATGCTTCCCAATGGGGACAGGACAGTTGGTACAAGGCCTTGCTGAACTTGATTGTTAATGGGGGTGAGAACTGGCTCTACACAGGCAACCCTCAGTCTCTTACTGAATAATAATTTCAATACTCTGTCAATGGAGATGAGCAAGAGTAGCATAATCCACAGGCATCTGCTTATGTAATAAGCTTCAAGTTCATATCCTACTATAAGCATTTCTATTAATTTGGTGACTCTAAATACCTCAAATTAATTGGCCATAGTGCAGTTTCGTGTGAGAAGAAAACAGAAAAGTTGCTCAATTCTCTAATCTCTGCTTTAAACTGGTGATTTGCAATCCTGGTTGGGAATTAGACCCAACTAGTAACTTTTTAAGTAAAAAAAAAAAGGCTTTATTGTTAAAACTATTACATATGTCCCCTTTTTTCCCTATTGACCCCTTCTAGCCTGCCCTCCCCCCACCCCACCCCAGGCTTTCGCCATACTATCAACTGTGTCCATGGGTTATGCATATATGCATACAAGTTATTTGGCTGATCTCTTCCCACCCACCCCACCCTAAAACTTTAATTCCCAAGCCTGCCCCAGACCTATTGAAGCAGGATCTCCGTAAACTGTACAAAGCTCTACTGGCTAGAGAATCACTGCTAAGGAACTCATTCCTTCCAGGGGAATGTAAGGCACAGGCCCAAGACAGCTTCTTGCTTCAGTCTAAGATCCAAACAGCCCCTCAAGAAAATAAATAGATGTCTTAGGGTAGCTGTATGTTGTCCTTGAAGGTTATCCAAGAATGTAAGAAACATTGGTTACAGTTTCAACCTGAACTTGAAAATGAATTTTGTTGAGATAACCAGTTGATTTAAGACGCTAAAATGATACTGTCACAAAGTTCAATGACAACAGTACTGTGGTTTAAAGTGTTTCTGTGGCAATCCTGTTTCTGGAATATCATCTGGTCCCCTTTTACTAACTATTGCTAAACCTTATTGTTATCAACTTTTTTTGAGGTTATAAGAGCCCACACATTCTAAGTGCAATCACTTATATTGGTCTGTCATTTTGCCATGTGCCGCCTGAGTGAACAGTATTCCTGTTCCATTCACAAACAGGGGAAAGGTTTAAGAGTTTGCAAAGCCTGACTCAGCATTCCCTCAGAATGACATTTAGCTATAGGGTGACAAGGTGAGGAACTGACCTCTTCAAAGTCTGCACATCTGGTCGACCCCGCTTGGGTAACTCCTGCTCTAGAGAGAGGCTCTACCATGCATAAAAGAATAGAATTCTGTTCATTTCTGTTAGAGTTTAGGACAAAAATGGAGCAAGAGTCATTTTCCGGGAGTTTATCTCTAAATTGGAGAAAGGGCATACAGAGAGGAAGGAAGCTGGGGTGCAGTAAGAGACATAGAAATCCCGAGTCACACTTAGGGGAGGTGACCCAGAAGACGAGGTGGTGCAGACTGTGTAACTGTGTCTTGAAAGGGCATCTGCTTATTTCCCTCTTCTTCCAAGCAGCTGCTCCAAGTGGGTGTTGGAGTTCAAGGAGAAACGTGCTTGAGGCTAATAGAAAGGGCCCTAGGCTAGGTTTCTGGCAAGCTGGTGCTGCAGGGACCTACGCCAGGTCTTCATAAAAACAAAACAAACCCAAAAGCCCAAGCCCTCACCTTCCTGGGCCTCACTTTCATTTGTCAAAGTAAGGCATTGCACCAGATCATGGGTTTTTCCCACGGGTCCTTCCTTGGTTTGGGGGACGAGTCCGTGAACCCCTTAACCACATCAGTAAGATGGTACCTCTGCCTTCTTGTGCATCAATTGCTAACAAGTCCTCCTAACCCCAACTCTGCCTTCCCAAGATTCTGGGACAAACATTTTTTACACTAGAATGTTTTTCAACTTCCTCTTCGGGGTACACCGTTTACCACGGAGATCAGTTTTCATGGTTAGCTTCCTCCCAACACGGCAGGCTGTGGGATGGCCTTTCTCGCTGACCACCCCACCTCCGACCTCGGCCAGGAGCGCCCAACTGCAATCTGACTCCACCGACTGGCCCGCAACACTTTAATTATAGGAACAGTTTAACAGTTTTAGAATCCCCAAAGGGTTCCAAACAATCAGAAACTTTCTCGGGCTTCGCGCAGGGCACTTCTGCTATTCTGCCCCCAGGTGACAGCTCCCGGGATCCCGGGGCTCTGGGCAGGGGAGAGTAGGGGGTCGTGGTCCGCAATGAGCCCCGTGCTAGCGCCCGCCCGGCCCCCCAAGGACGAGACCGGCGCCACGGCCCGCACCCGCACTCACCGGGCTGCGCGCGCGAACCGCACAGCCAGGAGCGGCACAGCCCGCACCAGCTGGGACCCGGGGTTTCCACGGCCTCCGCCGGCTCTTCCCTCGCGTCCGACGAGGACGGGGATGTGTCGGCTGTGAGCGGCAGCCCGGGCTCCCGCAGCTCCGCGACCCGGGTGCTGTGGAGGGTCCGCATTGCGCGGCGGGCGGTGATTTCCCCGCGGCCGGCGCAGCGTCTGGCGCGGAGCTAGGCTGCCTGGCTCTTCCGGCGGCGGGGCGGGGGCGCGCCTGTGCGCGCGGCCCTCCCGTGCCCGGGCCCGGGGTAGGGCTGTCCTTCGCCGCCCTCCCACCTCCAGCTCCCTATCCTCCTGTGCCGCTGGAGGTCGGCCAACTCTCTGATGGGGCTTCTTGGCCACAGCTGACCCGAAGGCGTCCACCCCTCTGCTGCGGTCTGGCTAGACTGGCCAGAGGTTTGGAGTCATCTTTCCCAGGCACACTGGACCCCTTCTCTTGGGCAGGCCTTCAGGAGGTCAGGAGACTGGGACCCGTTTACTTATTGGCGTGGCCCATAATCACCTCTGGAAGCTTTGTCAAGCCCTGTTTTATCTAGGGCTCATTGCCACGGAGGGTAGAATTTTACTGGTTCTAGGTCTTGAAAAGGGGATAGGGGATTAGCACATAACCATAAGGAAAATATATCTATAGGACTGGGGTAGAACCATTTATATGTTCTTTGTAACACTAGGCATTCGTTATGGGTCCTTCTGTTGTAGGCAGTTAGACGTGAGGAGGATGGGCCAGGTACAGAAGAAGGTCACCAGGATGGAAAGCCCTAGGTGCCTAGCAAGGGACAGTCCATTGTAGGGTTGCCCCAGGGGTAACTTTGTCCTTCCCTAGCATATCACTGGTCATGGGGTTTGCGTTCCCTGACCTTTCCTCCCTGGTGATAACGTCTAGGCCTATTGTATTTCAGCTCCCCCATACCTGTAATAGTCATTTTGCATACCCATTCTTTTTAAAAATATATATTTTATTGATTTTTTACAGAGAGGAAGGGAGAGGGATAGAGAGTTAGAAACATCGATGAGAGAGAAACATCGATCAGCTGCCTCCTGCACACCTCCCACTGGGGATGTGCCTGCAACCAAGGTACATGCCCTTGACCAGAATCGAACTTGGGACCCTTCAGTCCACAGACCGATGCTCTATCCACTGAACCAAACTGGTTAGGGCTTGCATACCCATTCTTATTCCTTTTGCCTACCTCCCTGTGTAATGTTTGTGCTACCTCATATAAGCAGCTGGCATATGGAGGGTGGGGGTTGCAGAGCAGATTTTTGTGGATGACCTGCTGCTCTCCCATACTCTCCCGTGACTCTGGCTTCTCTGAGGCCTTGCCATGCTCAGCATATTATCCCAGGGTCTTCAGTTTACTAGATCTGTTTTTGTAACATTCTTTTCCCAGAGATTACGATGATTAGCCTGGTCCAAAAACGCACTACTTTCCATCCAAAGGAGACTCAAGGGGAAAGGAAAAGAGAGTGAATAAGCAGGAAACAGGCAGGGTTGGTTCCCTGTTTGTTACAGTTCTCTGGTGACCACAGGGAGGCCTCCTGTATTTGGATGAAAATGGTCTTTCTAGTTGAAAGCTTTCCATGAATTCTATATGTCAATCATTATGCTAACACTACTCTTCCTTTCTTTTTTTAAGTTTCCTTTTCAGTTTTATTGAGAAACTAGAGGCTTGGTGCATGAAATTCGTCCATGGGGAGGGTCCCCCTCAGCCCAGCTTGCACTCTCTCCAATCCGGGACCCCTTGGGGGATGTTTGACTGCCAGTTTAGGCTCAATCCTGGGGATAGGACCTAACCCGGCAGTTGGACATCCGTCTCACAATCCTGGACCTCTGGCTCCTAAAAGCTCACCTTCTTGCCTGCCTGGTTGCCCCTACCTGCCCCCCCTCCCCTCATGGCCCCCAGCCGGCTGGTTGCCCCAAGCAGCCTGCTGTTTAGTTGTTTGGTCGTCCCTCACTAACCCCCCTACCAGCCTGGTTGCCCCACGCAGCCTGCTTGTTCAGTCGTTTGGTTGTCCCTCACTAACCCCCCTGCTGGCCTGGTTGTAGGCAGCCATCTTGTGAAGGCGTGATGGTCAATTTGCATATTACCTCTTTATTATCTAGGATAATTAACATGTATAAGGTTAAGGTATACAGCATGATGGTTTGATTTGCATATATTGTGAAATTATTACCATAATACATTTAGTGAACATCAATCATCTCATATAGATACAATAAAAAGGAAAAAATTTTCTTATGATAAGAACTATTGGGATCTACTCTATTAACAGCTTCCTTATGTATCACACAGCAGTGTTAGCTATAGTCATGTTGTACATTACATTTCTAGTACTTACTTATAACTGGAAGTTTGTACCTTTTGACCACCTTCCTTCAATTACCCCTCCCCCACCCTCACCTAACCACAAATTTGACCTCTTTTTCTATGAGTTTGGTGGGTTTTTGTTGTTGTTTAAAATTCATTGAAATCTTTTCTCCATTGGGTACTTATAATTTAGCCTTAATTCCTAAGATGATTTTGCTTTTTCTTTCCTGACTTCTACCATTGGTTGATAAATTTATCTATCATCTATCTATCTATCACTTTGTTCATTTCTGTTCTTGAATTTTTAATTTCCAACTTCAGGTGTTTTTTCATATTCCAAATGCTTGTTTTAAGATATTAATCCCATTTGGAATTTTGTGTTTTGTGGTTGTTTTTTGCTAAGAATTTTCTCCAGCTAAGATGCTTTGATTCTCATTTTTTCCTCTCTTAGTGTAGTTTCCTGTGGCTTTGTGATGGTTCTTTTTTTTAAAAAAATATATACTTTATTGATTTTTTACAGAGAGGAAGGAAGAGGGGTAGAGAGTTAGAAACATCGATGAGAGAAACATCGATCAGCTGCTTCCTGCACACCGTCTACTGGGGATATGCCCGCAACCAAGGTACATGCCCTTGACCAGAATCAAACCTGGGACCCCTCAGTCCACAAGCCGACGCTCTATCCACTGAGCCAAACTGGTTAGGGCATGATGGTTCTTTTTATTTTAGGGAGTTTGAGTAATTTACATTCCTAGTTCAAGGTCACCCTCTTCTGTCAGTGTTGTGAAGTACAGTTCCTTAAGGATGGTTTCATTTTTACGTTGGGAGTTGATAATTTTCTAATGTTCTTTTTATTATTTACCTATTTTAGTTTCATAATCTCTTTTCTGATTTAATGATGTTATCTTCTTTTATTTCCTTGAAGATTTTAGACAGAACTTTATTTTAAGTTGGTTTTATATTGTTGTATTTCTGTCACCTCAGGATAAAAAGCTCTCCTTTGTGATTATTTTTACTGTATCAAGTGTGGTTTTTCACTTTTCCTGGAAAGCTCATATTGTGTGGGAATTTTGTTGCATACTTCTCTTATCTGTGAAGCAGTTTCTTAGCTGCCTTAGCCTTGGTCTCATGGGTTGACCAGACTCAACCCAGGCCATGTGTTTGCAGCTCACCTCAGAGCTCTCCATGTCTGGGGTGACACTTCACCTGGTACAGACCAGAAGGGGACTCTGCTGTGGACAGTGGCCCTGAGCAAGTAGTTATTTCTGCCACAATTCTAGATGCATGGCTGAAGTTCTATCACCCACTGTTCTTGGGTAGGAAGCCCAGCTCAGGTTCCTGTTTCAGAAGGTATTTAACTCCAGCCCTGCTTGCCTGGCTCCAGTCCTACCTTTTGCCCCTGTGCTTTATACTTTGTTCATTGTTTAAATTTTATTCTCACTTTGAGCTGTTGAGATATTCTTCTTATATTTTGAAAGAAGCATATAAACATGTATTTTAATGTCATATCTCATTGTTATGGATTTGGGGTACAGGAAAGATTATGAATGTATTTACTTTGAGACCTTTTTTTTCCCTTTTTAAAAAAAATCTTTATTAGTTAAGGTATTACAAATGTGTCCTCATTCCCCCCATTAAATCCCCATCCTCCCCCCCGCCCCCCGCCATGCTCTCATCCCCCTGTTGTCCATGTCCATTGGTTTGGCTTTATGCATGCATACAAGTCCTTTGGTTGATCTCTTCCCCTTGCCCCCTTCATCCCCTACTTTCCCTCTGGGGATTAATAGTCTGATCAATGTTTCTCTGTCTTTGGATCTGTCCCTGTTCATCAGTCTATGTTGTTCTTTATATTCCACAAATGAGTGAAATCATGAGGTATTTCTCTTTCTCTGACTGGCTTATTTCATTTAGCATCATGCTCTCCAGTTCCATTCATGCTGTTGCAAAAGGCAAGAGTTCCTTCTTTTTTACCACAGCGTAGAATTCCATTGTGTAGATGTACCACAGTTTTTCAATCCACTCATCTGTTGATGGGCACTTAGGCTGTTTCCAAATCTTAGCTATGGTGAATTGTGCTGCTATGAACATAGGGGTGCATATATCCTTTCTGATTGGTGTTTCTGGCTTCTTGGGATATATTCATAGAAGTGAGATCACTGGGTCAAATGGGAGTTCCATTTTTAGTTTTTTGAGGAAGCTCCATACTGTTCTCCACAGTGGCTGCACCAGTCTTCATTCCCACCAGCAGTGCAGAAGGGTTCCTTTTTCTCCACATCCTCTCCAGCATTTGTTGTTTGTTGATTTGTTGATGATAGCCATTCTGACAGGTGTGAGATGATACCGCATTGTCATTTTGATTTGCATCTCTCGTATAATTAGTGACTTTGGGCGTGTTTTCATATGTCTTTCGGCCTTCTGTATGTCCTCTTTCGAAAAGTGTCTATCTAGGTCCCTTGCCCATTTTTTGATTGGGTTGTTTATCATTCTATTGTTAAGTTGCATGAGTTCCCTGTAAATGTTGGAGATTAAACCCTTATTGGTCATATCATTGGCAAATATGTTCTCCCATGCAGTGGGTCTTCTTGTTGTTTTGTTGATGGTTTCCTTTGCTGTGCAAAAGCTTTTTATTTTGATGTAGTCCATTTGTTTATTTTCTCTTTAGTTTCCATTGCCCTAGGAGCAGTATCAGAGAAGAAATTCCTTCGGCATATGTCTGAGATTTCGCTGCCTGTGGATTCCTCTAGTATTTTTATGGTTTCCCGTCTTATGTTTAAGTCTTTTATCCATTTTGAGTTTATTTTTGTGTATGGTGTGAGTTGGTGGTCTAGTTTCATCCTTTTGCATCTATCTGTCCAATTTTCCCAACACCATTTATTGAAGACACTGTCTTGACTCC